TATAACATTTGCTGAGTCATCGTTGCCTTGTGGGACGATGATATATGTCTATCTGTCTGTCTGCCTCGTTTTTTTATCTTTATTTCTTTTTTTATTCTTTCCCACCCATTGTATATCAAATTTTGAAGACGTTAATGTTTATTCTGGATGGTGAGAGATGAATTATGCTGACCAAACGACGGGGGAGTTATTAAAATTATTAAATGAACTCCAGTGAGGATTGGTACCTAAAAATATAATTTTTCAATATCATTGTTATAATCATTATCATTCTACTATTATTACTATCAATATTATTATCATTATGATTTTATTAGTAGTATCATCAATATTATTATCATTATAATTTTATTAGCAGTATCATCAATATTATTATCATTATCATTACTGTTATCCTCATCGTTATTACTACTGTTATCATCATCATTATCATTATCTTTTTCATCATCACTATTATTACGATCAACATTATCATTATCATCAACATCATCACAGCTGATGACCAAAAACGGAAACGAGGAAACACCCACGAAATACCAATACACATTAACGAATATCTCGCCGCCCTTGCATTCGCTGGCCATAACTGTAACAGAACGATGGAGTTCGATAACCACACAGCCATTTTTCGACCTTGAACTGAACCTTCCATACACACACGCACACACACACACATACATGTACTCATTTTTTGGCGGTCATGGCGAGGGAGAGAGCGAGAGGACACGTTACTTTTAGCGGTCACAGGCTACGCGAACGACCCCCAGGATTCGACGCATTGAACTCTGTGCCGAACGACCTCCGGATTCAGACGCATGAACCTTGCGCGAACGGTCAAGGTTTCCCGCCGAGAATGGGAGGTTATGCTTCTAGGGGGGGGGGGGGGTGAGAGGAGGGGGAAGGGGGGGGACCTTGACCTTGCGGACGATGGCTAGGGGTCACGGACCTTCGCGAGTACCGTACGTAACTGCGGCCGTTGTCGAGGTGCTATGGATGGCGATGGACCCGAGAGGGGGGGGGGGGGGCTGGGAGGCTGGGAGGGATGGGATGGGAAGGATGGGGTGGGAGGGAGGGAGGGAGGGATGGGATGCGAAGGGTGGGGTGAGGGAGGAGGAGAAGGAGAGAGAGAGAATGGGGGGGGGGGAGGCACGTTTATGAATGCATCAAAGAACGTTATTCAGCAAAGAACAGAGTATATGAATGAATCGAGTATGAAGGCAGCTTCCAGACTTTGTTTATAGAATTTTAATAGCGTTTTTACGTGTGCTTGTGCACACACACACGTTATATATAAATAGATATATGAACACAAGCACAATAACGTGTACACAAAGATGAAGCGGAAAAACATCCACAGTAATAGATAAAGCAAAAACGTTATTGTTTAATTTCTTATTGTGGCTGTTTTTCCTTTTCATATATATATATATATATATATATATATATATATATATATATATATATATATATATATATATATAAATAGATATGCATGTGTGTGTTTCTGTCTGTGTGTAATCAAGCGTCAAGACGATTGTACTCCAACATGAATTTACAAGCCACATCGACAGACAAAAACTACGAAAAGTGGACTGCATCATCTCCATCCCAGATCTAAAAATCCCAACTGTTAATGGCGGTCAAAGTCCTCCCAAATAACGGACAATATTACTCGCCGTAACAACCTTTTAACCGCCCCTTTCGGTTATGCCAGAAAACACGCGCGGTCAAAGTCAAAGTCGCTCTGAAAATCGTTTAACCGTTTTGCCCTTCGACGCTAACGCACGCTAACGGGCAACAGGTCAACAGGAGTAGCGGGAGAGCCGATCGTGTGACCCCGCGAGAAAAGCCATAGACCGGGTTTTCCGTAACAGCTTAGTAACGGTCAGTAACCGACCTCCTCCCGTTTTCTTTACCTTTTTTTTTTTTACTTCTTACTCTGCTTCTGTTGGAAGATTTTTTCTTTCTTCCTTTCTTCTTTGAAGTCTGCATTTTTTTTTATCCAGATATTTGCTTATTTATTTATGTCTATCTATCCATCAACTAAATATAATGACATATTTTCCAATCTATGATTCTCTCTCTCTCTCTCTCTCTCTCTCTCTCTCTCTCTCTCTCTCTCTCTCTCTCTCTCTCTCTCTCTCTCTCTCTCTCTCTCTCTCTCTCTCTCAGTACCCCTCGGTCTCTCCATCTTCCATCTCTATTCAAATTATGTAAACAAGAGCACGAGGGACAAAGACGGGAGGGCGGGGAGGGGAGGGGGGGAGGGGTCGCATCCAACGTCTCCTCAATTTGCGAACGGATGAGAAAGCCCCTTTTAACGGATCTGTGTAAATGCGTTGTGAGCGGCGGGAAAAATACAACGGTTTTATACGCGCTTCCCTACACCTGCATCCCCGCGCGGTCACAGACAGGAGAACCGCGGAAGAGAAGGTAACCGTCATTGTCGCAAACACGTGGCCGCGGCAACCGTTTCGGGCCGCCATATTGTGTGACACGCGCCACGGTTCAAGCGCGGGAAATGCCTTTGCTCAGTAATAAAAAGGGAATGAATATACATTGAAAAAATAGCATATATCTAAATACAAGTATTATGGATTCTTTATGAATTGAGTATATTGTTATATTTTATTGACTTTATCATTCTTCGGGTTTTTTTTTATGTTATTATAACAATCTTCCTCAAGCGAGAAATATGCGAGATATTACGGACACATATTTCTATAAGCTGTCAAAACAAATATTTCGAATATGAATCACTTACCGGTTGTACCACTCTAAGGAAATTGCACTCCGGGTTTAGTTATCATAAGACAATGGTATTGTTGTGTACATATGGTGATGAAAAAGTTTATTTCACTCATTTAATGAAAGCATCTACTACCATAATCTATCTCACGGAGAATTGATCAGAGAAAAATACTCAGTTTATTCTGTGCAGTTCAGTAGAACAACAAAAAAGATAACGTGAAAACACGAACAAAATATAAAACGCCCTTTCCCATAGAAGAAGAAAACGCCAAGGTTAGGGGACCTTCGTAAAGCAAATGGACAACCGTATCTCGTCAATGAGGGAAGTTCATAGCACCTCAAGGCCACATGGACAGAGGAAACCGAGCCTGTCGCATTCCCCTACATGTTCTACTTCCGCTACACGCCGCCCGAAGGTTAAAAGCTCCCCCCCCCCAACAGAAAAATCCGTTTGAGGATAAGCGTGGTCTGTACTTCCTGCCTGTCCCTCTGACCTCAATACGGGCTTCAACCCTTTGCTCCCATCCCTCCCATCCAGACAAAGGCAAATGTCTACACAAAGGAACGTACCCCTAAGCCCATGCGGTGGCTGCAAGTGGACTCCCCCGTTCCGAAAATGGACTCGCCGATTCAAGCTATTTCCTCAGAGTACGTCACGTGACACACCGTAGTAGCGGGGTGACTATAATAATGATAGCCACTGTATTTAAGATGATAATGATAATCATGATGATAATGGTGACGAATTTTGATAATGTGAAAATAAGAATAACGTGATGATAATGATAGTTATAATTGTGACAAAGGTAATAACGCTAATGATGATAGCAGTAATTACAGTAGCAGCAGTAATTATATCAGATAAAGAAGACAATGATGATACTATTAATAATAGTTATAATAATAATGATTCTTCTTATTACCAACAGTATTATCATTACAATTATCATCATCATTACAAATATCATTATTACAACAATCACATCATCATTGTTTGTTTTTTTCTGTCGCGTCAACATCTAATGTTATAAGCGGCGTATAAAGTCTTGTGGCGAAAGGGATATAAACGAGTTAACGATTAAGATAAGTGGGCAGAAGACGGGGATGGAGAAGAGACGGAAAAGGAAAGGGGGAGAAGAAAAGACCATACAAAATTAGTTGATTATCATTATCATCACTTCTATTATTATCGTTATCATTGCCATAAAGGTAACATTTATAGAGCAACAAATAATGGCAAAAATGCTAATATTCCAAGTATTATCCCTGCTACTAGCGATAACAAAAAAGTCTTTATCTAATCTATTGGATATTTTCTGTCTCGTTATATTTTGCCCGTTATCATTTTTAAATTATCAGGTGTCGAATTTCCTTGCCACTTGTAGTTTTCACGTTTATTCATCAACAAAAAACCTCGAAACAGAGATTTCATGTTTCCTGATCACGTGGAATAGCTCAGTAGTTGTTAACACATGCAAGCATTCCATAGGTTGTTCTATTTACACTAAAAAATATGAGAATGTATGGTCACAACTGGGAAGTTTTATCATGAAGTTCTGACGTCGAGCTTCCGATAATAAATATGCCAGACTGAATTAATCTATTTTGAAATTAACCCATTCGCCCCGGATTTATGTTCTGTCCCCTATAGTTTTTGGTGAATTTTGTTACATATAGATGGCCCCACATGTGCTCAGCCAGCAAGGAGTCTATTAATAGGCCTTAGTTACCGACCCAGATTTTCCCATTCATTGAATCGGCGGGAAAATTATTACCATTGCAATCGATACTGTTATTATTGTTAATGATGTTATGATTATTAAGTTATCATTTGAATATTTTAGTCAATGAAATTATTCAAAAACACTTTTCCTAAAGCGAAGGAAAAAGGTAAACAGGTGAAATGGGTAGTTCTTGACAACTGGCTATTTGGTGATTAAGAACTTGTGGAGCCATCTATGTGTAAATACAATAAATATAGGTGTATCAAAGTGGGTATGACACCTATTTTTGCCACGTGGGGCGAATGGGTTCGGGCAGGAATGTGAAAAGATACTTCTTTTTCTACTGGCTGTTGCAGAATGTATCGACCAAGTTACAAAGTTGTACTAATTATTTTAGACCATGACACTTCCTTTAAAGCCATCTTTTTTTTTTCTAATCCACTAGTAAAAGTTATCAGTACCAAGGTTATCCTGTGGAAAGACCAATGCATGTCCCTGCTTGTAAAGGGTTAACAAACATGGATATAATTTCGTAGTCTTTATTTTTCTTAAAATTAGATGATATACATACACACTTGTACTTGTTTGAAGAATTAAGTTTTGCTACTTTTCATACTAAGGTAGCAAAATTTTTTCAATGAATGTTTCACAAACTTAAAAATATCTTGACAAGTCACGGTACACTTTACAAGAGACTGCAAAGTTTCCAAACATTTCTTGTGCTCAACTTAAAAAAATAAAAAATAAAAAATTAATAATAATAAAAATAAAACACACAATGCAGTGCTCCATGACATGCAAGCTTTGGTTATAATGGTTTTCTAATTGAAACAAAAGATGTGTATCACTAATACTACAAAATAAAAGGATCGTTCAAACTATCAATCTCAACATGAAATATACCATGAATCATTTACATTAACATTTCTTTTACCATTCACACTACACCAGTGCCTCATCTGGACCCTACAATTACTCCTGCAAAGATAAAATAAAAGACATTAGTAACAAAAAGCAGTTGGGCTACATATATATATCGCATTAATTACCTAAAACAGAACTTTAATTCCAACTGCACTTCTTCAGATAAATGGTTGTAAAATAGGTAATTCAATGCAAGTAATGTCTTTTGCTCACCTCTCTCCCATTTTAACGACCTTCAATGTATGAGCTGAGCTCAATCTCGTCAGGTAGCTCTGTGATGTTTACATCGAACCTCTCCTGAACCTCATTCAAAATCGTTGCATCACTTTCTTCACTCACAAACGTGACAGCTAAACCCTGTAAATTAACAGAAGACCAGAGATTGTTAAAGGTCAAGGCAAGAACGGTTTTAAAAAATCATGATACATATTTCATCTTAAATATATAATACATATCTTTTCTTATTTCTTTTGTACATGTAGGAAATAAACACAGTATCAGGCTAGAAATAAACTAAGTACTGTTTCAAAAGCAAAGTAGATTGAACTCACCTTGGTTCCGAATCGACCAGCTCTTGCTACTCTGTGAAGGTATGTGTCACTGTCTTCTGGCATGTCATAGTTGAACACGATGTTCACTCGCTCAATATCCATTCCTCTACCAAAAAGGTTTGTTGCCACCAGAATGCGCTTGAAGATAAGAAGAAAATGCATAAAAATCACATTAAACAACACTACACATTATACATATTAAACTTGATCCCAAAACTAGAAAACCATGCAAATCCTAAATACCTTCTGGAAATCCTTGAACTGCTGGTAACGACTCAGTCTCTCTTCTTGCTGCATGGCACGGTGGATAGCAATGGCTGGGAAGTTCTGTTCAACCAATAGCTGTGCCAAGGCCATGCATCTCTGGACTGACTTAACAAATATCACAACCTGAAAAATGGCTCAGATTAGTGGAAAACACATTAAATTTGTTCCAAATATTTTCCAGGATGAAAGACCCCTTTTAACCATACTAACTTGATCCTATCTCTTGTAATTTCTACCAACAGGACTGTACCCCTGCTATTACAAACTCACTACTCTAGCCAATAAGTCAATATATCAAACAATGAAATATACTGACAACTATGCACACCCCAAACCTATTTGGTAATATGCAGGACCTCACTACTACTGAAAAACCTTTTAACCTCTTTGTGCCTGGTCTATGCATTGTCCTCTGTAATTGTTTTGTGAATTTTGTTTGTACACAGAGGATTCTAGATGTGCTTGATCAACAAGGAGCTCATTAGGTCTGACTTTTTTTCTATTATTATAAATATGATTACCGATATACTATACCATACTATCAGCATTTTAAAAATATATGCAATAATAAAATAGTCTTTTTATGAAAATTAAAGAAAAAAGACAGGACTAGGTATTGTCTCCTTGGTTATTATGCAATCATAGAGCCATTGGTGTACAATAAAATCACTTGTCACTAAAACACAGATATTGTGTCACTTTGGTTCCTTGATAACCAGTTAATAACCCCTTTATTCATAATTAGTCCCTTTTAAAATGCACTTTATAGCATATCTAAAAATTCTGAACAAAACTACATATACTAAGTGTTCACTTTTGATATATGGAATTTAAGAAAACATATTAAATGTAAATCAGTCCAGACACCCATACCTCTCTGCCTCTTACAAGTGACTGCCTAAACTGTAAACAAAATTGCATTTGAGGATTTACCTGGTTGAACTCTAAAGCATCGAGTAATTCAAACAATTTTCGATTCTTCTCATTTTCCTTGATTTTAACGTAGTGCTGCTGCAGGCCATGAAGAGTCAACTTGGCTTCATCATCAACATATACTTCCATGGGCTGTAAAAACAAGTTAACAAAATGATGCATACAAGGGAGAGGGGAGGAAGAGTGGGGAGAGAGTGGGAGGGGGGGGGGGGGGGAATTCCACAAAAAGAAAGTGGGAGGGAAAGGAGGAATCGGAGGTTGTTAACAAAAGGAGGGTGGGGGAGGTCATAACTAATAATACTGTTAATTTCAAAACATAAATGGGGGGAAAAAAAGTTCAAGAGGAGTGGCACATCCCCTATTCCAATGTAGGTTCTCAGAACAAGATCTGTTAAGTGCAAGTAATGAAGGGGGGGGGGGGGAGGTTACTTTATTACAACACACCTAATGGGTACATAAAAATAAAGATGGAAAGGGAAAAATCTGGGAGAAAAGGAAGGAAAGAGTAAGCCACTTCTGTAAAGCTGCAAAATTAAATATTTTAATCTAAAATAAACTTTAAGATCAACCTCTGAGACCTAACACTCATTTCTAGATGTTAAATTCAGTCCTTGGCAAACAAATTGTTGATATATATCTAAGTAAAACTATGGTAAGAGAAAAAAAAAAAGCATGTATGCCTCTGATTAACTCGCTCGTACTTTATCAAATTATGCAAGACAATTCACAGCATAAACCACACATCAGAGGCACATGTGCTTCTGGGTCAAACTACCTGCCATAATTTCAAAGGAAAAACCTAAAATGCATAAAGTAAACACAAATCTGATCCCCTCTTGCACTCACAAACCCTTCCCAGACCCCAAACCTTGGATGCCTGCCATGAGGAACGGACAAGGAGTGGCTCGGGCGTTAAAGCTGCAAGTCACCAGCTACGGCCCTCCAGCAACACCTCTTCGGAACGCACACGAGGTGTCCTTCGCGGGTTCTTCATCAGCCTGCGTCACATTACCTCCTCTCCTCCACTCTCAAGCACTTTCTGTAGGAGCGCCGTCTTCCTCTATGTGGTTTCTTGAAGGCCAGCTTCTCTGATCCTCCACATGGGGTGAAGTGATTTTTTTTTTTTCCATGATGAAAATAGTAGGACGTTTGATAGATGGGTTTGTGTTTTGTGTTGGTAGGTAGGATGGTACAGGATAGGAGGATAATGGGTAGAGGTTGGCTTTAGGTTGTCAAGGATATGCACCACTTGCCACGGTGCGGGAATAAGGATGTCTTGTTGAATTTTTTTTTCCCCACCCATTTTCTTTCTTTTTTTTTAACATTAAACAATGCTGTGCGTCCCTTCTTCGCAGAATGTTAGCGCAGACATGGGAGGGGGAACGAACCAAGAAAAGTGCACAAGGATTGGAGAGCAGACTGGGCGGGGAGGCAGGGAGAGCCCCAGTCCAAGACAGGTATGTGGTGTGGAATTTGCACCTCTGGAAGGACAAGTGCAAGAAGGATGTAGGTCTGGGTATGGGAAACTGATGGCAGATAAGGTGGACACCAATAGGCTGGATGCCCAGGCCTTCAGGATGACTGCAGGATGAAGGACTGTTGTCACATGAATGCTGGAGGTGATTGATCATAACAGCAGATATTGGGCAAAATGACAGATGGTAATGACAGAATCAGAAGGAGGAGCTGGTGATAAAGTGGAGGGGGCAGATGGCAATGGCAATGAAAGAGTGGATGGCAGATGGAATGATCTAAGGGGTGTGACTTTCGGCCAGGAACGATCTTTCTCTTTCTTTCCTGTCATCTTCAGGGAACCGGCAGTGGCAGCAAGGCATGCTGGGTATGCTCCCAGGAAGGTGTACCACCCATCCATGCGGGATGGTTGGCACCGCGACACGACACAAAGCTGGTCGTGTTGATATACCGTAGTAGAAACAAGACAAAGGTTGTAGTAATTACATCTTGCATGAACTTCTTGCAAACAGGGCGGATCTCCTTGCTCAAGGTGGCGCTGAACATCATCACTTGCTTTTCATGAGGAGTATTGCGGAAGATTTCTTGCACATCTCGTCGCATGTCTAAAAAATATCAAAATGATTAGGGACTAATCTTCCTCTTCTAATTTGCATCAAGATTTTCAACTGAAAATATTCAAAGACTGGATACAGAAAGATATATCAAGCAATTAGTAAGCAAAATCCTAATATCAATTAGATTGTACTTATGCATCCTGGAACATGACAAACATTCAAAGCACTTTCACATACCAAGCTGTTCCAGCATCTTGTCACATTCATCCAATACAAAGTGTTTCAAGTGGCGGAGATTGAGCTTCTTGTTGCGCACCAGAGCAAGAACACGGCCAGGGGTGCCAACAACAATGTGGGGGCAGTTGTTCTTGAGGGTCTCTTCATCCTTCTGAACATTCAGGCCTCCGAAGAACACCCCCACCTTGGCGTTGGGCATGTACTTGCTGAATCTCTCATACTCCTTGGCAATCTGGTAAGCCAACTCTCGCGTATGACACATTACCAGAACTGACACCTGAAAAATTGGAGGTTTCTCAATCTATGGAAGCTAAAATTCAAATCTATTATCCTTATATTTAAAAAAAAAGAGTAACAAGTACTTTAATGATGAATATCTCTTGTGTAAGCATGTCTGTGGATCATCTTAGTCTAACAAACCAACATATAAACAAAAAGGCAAGATTTCTTACCTGACCATCAACAGGGTCAATCTGCTGAAGTGTTGCAAGCACAAACACTGCCGTCTTTCCCATACCCGACTTAGCTTGGCCCAAGATGTCCATGCCCAAAACAGCTTGAGGGATGCACTCATGCTGTACTGAAGTTCAAAAGAAATCAGTCAGAAAAAAGTCAAGAGGATATTACAGCATATTCATTATTATAGGTAGGCTCTCTAAACCAAAATAACTTTTGTATTTTCTTTATGTATGAATTCAGCAATGGTGACCTTACCCTCAGAAGGATGCTCAAAGCCACAGTCCACAATGGATCTCAGGATTTCTGGCTTCAGCAGGAAATCCCTGAAGCCTGAGGAGTGGATAGACACATAGGTACCCTTGACATCCTTTTTGGCTGGGGCAGCCTCCGTTGTTTCTCCTACTCCTGCCTCCACCGCATCCTCATCCTCCTCGTAGTCGAGAAGTTCAGTCTCCTGGTCGGCCATTCTGGTAAGAAAGCAGGCCATTTATGGTCTTCATTCATATAATACATGAATATTTTTTACTTTGTGAAATATGATCTAAATCTGATTATATAATATTACACATGTCCTCTTAACCCCTTTACATTAAGCAGAAATCAAAATTTCCAGTTTCCCACTGGTCTTCCACGCCCGTTGCATGAGGAGGATATGGCTGCAAGATCAGAAACCAAAGGGTTGCAAACAAAAATTTATTTGAATGTCAATATATGAAAGACTCTACCACTGAATTCCAGCAAATCTATGGAATGTGTTCTGTTCTTTGCTGTGTATATTGAAGCCTTCCTTTCACAGGAAGAAAGAAAAAATTAAAAATAAATAAATAAAAATTGTATTTAAGACTCCTCACACAACTTTTGCTTCTTGAGAAAAGCTTGTAAAACTATTAAGAAGGAAGGACAGTTTCTCACTAATTCTCTTTCAAGCTCTTTGCACTTTCAGTACAAGACTTGGCATTCAAAAACAAGCTTTGTTCAGAGTCACCTCTCTAATGGCTGCCACAAAGGTCCTACAATTAATTCACAACAGAACTTACTTGGCAAACCTGGCACACTATAATTTTCCTATGGCAAGTACACAGTCAAACAAAGACATGGATTCAGTTTTACCTGGTCTCATTAAATTTCGAGGTAAGCAATTTACTGTTACACAAATTTAGTCACAAAATATCATGGGCCTCCTTCCAATTTACCTGTGGCTTCTACTATTGTATCTGCAACACATATCATTTAATATTGATTCAAGTGATATCTTACCATGGCATTCAACAAATAAGAACAGTCAACAATACTCATGAAAACACTTGTAAAGCTCATACGCCACACCTCATCATTTTTACTCAGCTGCAAAACCTGTGTACATCAATGCTTTCCCACAATACTAATCTGCCAAAAACCTTTAGCAATGTCAGCAGAAATACCAAAAGGCAAGCATCTAAACCTTAACAGAATCTCAACCTGGTCAGGGTTGAATGAGGAGCCAGTATGCAACTATTCAGAGAAATCCTGTAATAACCTTTAGCTGAAGCATCAAAGATTGGGCATAGTACTAGTACTCAATTGCCATATCACTAGATGATGAGGCACAAGCAGGATTATTACCCTCCATTTCACCTGTAGGTACTTCTTCTATGATTCCCTCATTTTCATAAACATCAGCTTTATATTCATATTCAGTTTTGCGACTTCTTTTGCAAACCTTTTGCAACATTTCAGTTTCATCTTTCCAGGAAAAACATCCCACATATCTATTAATAAAAACTTTATACTCATTCAATTCTGTAAGTCCCCTTTCCTCCATATAATTTTCTTTCTTTAGGAGCAATATCAAGGTCTTTCAAGTCCCAATACCTCTACATGTACACGAACTGTGGTGATGTAAAAGCATACATAGAAGTAATGAGAATATCTTTACCTGTAGTATGCCCTGAAAGCACCTACCCAAATGGAGTACTGTGAGCTACAATGCCCTCCATTTGTGTGTGTGTGTGTGTGTGTGTGTGTGTGTGTGTGTGTGTGTGTGTGTGTGTGTGTGTGTGTGTGTGTGTGTGTGTGTGTGGTGTGAGTGTGAGTGTGAGAGTGAGTATGTGAGTGAGTGTGTGAGTGAGTGTGTGAGTGAGTGTGAGAGTGAGTGTGAGAGAGTGAGTGTGAGAGTGAGTGTGAGAGTGAGTGTGAGAGTGAGTGTGAGAGTGAGTGTGAGAGTGAGTGTGAGAGTGAGTGTGAGAGTGAGTGTGAGAGTGAGTGTGAGAGTGAGTGTGAGAGTGAGTGTGAGAGTGAGTGTGAGAGTGAGTGTGAGAGTGAGTGTGAGAGTGAGTGTGAGAGTGAGTGTGAGAGTGAGTGTGAGAGTGAGTGTGAGAGTGAGTGTGAGAGTGAGGTGAGTGAGTGTGAGTGTGAGAGTGAGTGTGAGAGTGAGTGTGAGAGTGAGTGTGAGAGTGAGTGTGAGAGTGAGTGTGAGAGTGAGTGTGAGAGTGAGTGTGAGAGTGAGTGTGAGAGTGAGTGTGAGAGTGAGTGTGAGAGTGAGTGTGAGAGTGAGTGTGAGAGTGAGTGTGAGAGTGAGTGTGAGAGTGAGTGTGAGAGTGAGTGTGAGAGTGTGTGTGTGAGAGTGAGTGTGAGAGTGTGTGTGTTGTGAGTGTGAGTGTGTGAGTGTGAGAGTGAGTGTGAGAGTGAGTGTGAGAGTGATGTGAGAGTGAGTGTGAGTGTGAGAGTGTGTGTGTGTGTGAGTGTGAGTGTGAGAGTGAGTGTGAGATGAGTGTGAGAGTGAGTGTGATAGTGAGTGTGAGAGTGAGAGTGAGTGTGAGAGTGAGTGTAGAGTGAGTGTGAGAGTGAGTTGTGAGAGTGAGTGTGATAGTGAGTGTGAGAGTTGAGTGTGAGAGTGAGTGTGAGTGTGAGAGTGAGTGTGAGAGTGAGTGTGAGAGTGCGTGTGAGAGTGAGTGTGAGTGTGAGGTGAGTGTGAGAGTGAGTTGTGAGAGTGAGTGTGGAGAGTGAGTGTGAGTGTGAGAGTGAGTTGAGAGTGAGTGTGAGAGTGAGTGTGAGAGTGGAGTGTGAGAGTGAGTGTTGAGAGTGAGTGTGAGTGTGAGTGTGTGTGTGTGTGTGTGTGTGTGTGTGTGTGTGTGTGTGTGTGTGTGTGTGTGTGTGTGTGTGTGTGTGTGTGTGTGTTGTGTGTGTGTTTGTGTGTGTGTTTGTGTGTGTGTTTGTGTGTGTGTTTGTGTGTGTGTGTGTGTGTGAGTGTGAGTGTGAGTGTGAGTGTGTGCGAGTGTGAGTGTGAGTGCACGAATGTGTTTTTTTTTCTCATGGGAAATCAATTCCCTATAACAGTTGAGCCCAATCAGTTATCAATTTCCATCAACTCATTACCATCATCTTCATGGTCATCTGCCAAGATCAAATCTGAAAATTCACTAAACACAGTATCAGGAAAGGAGAACCTAAAATTGTGCTGACAAATATTTGGTATTGTACCAGCACAACCCCGCAACCTGAAGTTCAACATACTAGCCAGGTTAGGTCATACCAGGTTCTCACTCACTGGACCGCGGGCTCCCCTCTGGTCCACAGCCTTGTCAATGCTAGTTAGACAGTGGGCACTCTTCATTCTATGCGCACCTAAGTACACTAGTACACTTAAGTACTAGTGTACGTAAGTGCAGAATCAGCATTCCTGGATCCTCCAGCAGACAATGACAATGGCTCCACCTATCTCTACTTCACCCAGCCACACCAGTGGGAACTCACACCCCAACAATCATCACTCCCCCAAAGAGATACAGACCAATACATGTAGTAGATGGCATACCCATCTGCCACAGTATTTCTGTAGCTACTACATCAATCAGTTTCCCATTCACATCAAGCAACTCCAATTTAAACCCAATGCCGCCAGGGAAAATTAATAAAAAATGGGGAAAATGCTGTGCTCATTTTCTATTTTTCTTGTGAAATGTCTCAAAAGAAACAATTAGTAAACACAACCTTATGTGATTTGAATTAGCAGAAAAAATGTATTTTTTACTAGTGCTATGAATATCGATGGTGTTATTTCTATTATAAACATAGTTACTATAATGTTATAAACATTAGTGACAGCAAAATATAACGTAAAATAGGTTCATTAAAAAAAAAAAAGGTAAACAAGCAAGACTGACTTCACTCATAATTGGCTCTTTGGTGACTTAGTACAAGTGTAGCCATCTATGTGTAAAAACAAAACTCACAGTGGGCATAGCACGTACGTACACGTCATGCCCATCGGCATTGGGTTAAAATATTACTTACTCGAAACAATCGCTTCATTCCTCAGCCACACTGACATACACTTTCTCAAATTTACTAGTCATACATGACCTTGTAGCTCCATTACCAAACATAAACCTAGCAGTATGAACTCTCCTTGATATCCACAACCTTAACAAATGCCACTTCCAGGATGACACTTGTTCCTCACTACTGGTCATCAAGGTTGAATTCTACTTCATCCCACTCCTGCCTCATCTCGAGGGGAAGTCACGACAATGACTGGCCTAAGGAAAAGATCAAAATTTCTCAACTGACAAACTGAGCACTTATTAGCTTCTCACGTGTCCTTCAATTGTCAATTAACGCCATTTAGTGATGTCCTTCCCGGATAACTTTGGTAGCTCCAACTTTGGCAATTTTATGCTCACTACCTGACTGGCTTGTGTGCTACCTTCAGTATTTATTACCAATAGTGATGCACCCTATGGCATACACAAAAGCACAATGTGTGTAAGCCATAAGACCAGAAGACCGCATGGGCTCCACATGTTTAACAAATGGCTCTATTTCAATAAAGACCCATTACCTTAGCGACTCCCTAGATGACAATTATAGCCGACCACATCCAACCAGGCAGTTCACCTCTAGAAGTCCCCGTGCCCAGATCTCCACTAGCCTCCAGTCCCCAGGGTTTGCTGGCCAGACATGCAACATCACATCTTCATTCACAGTGTACTTTTTCCCCCAGAAGAAAAGTCAAGCCATGTAACCACTTTCACTGACCAAACAGTCATAGCCATTGTCGTGAACTCTAAAGCCTCTTCTACACCCTCCCAAAACAAGGGTAACATGCAAACCCAATAATCCAAAATCAGCCTTTCCTCCCTTATATCTATTCCCTAGGTGGGCAAGGGGGGGGAGGCCATGTACATATGTGCTATGCCCACTGAGTTACTTGTTTGTTTTTACACATAGATGGCTACACTTGTACAAAGTCAACAATGACCCAATTACGAGTACTGTCAGTCTAGCCTGTTTACCCTTTTTTTTGGATTTATAAAAATATTTTACGTTATGTTATTTTGCTGTTACTAATGTTTATAATATTATAGTAATTATAATGTTTATAATAAAAATAACACCACTGATATTCATAGCACTAGTAAAAAATACATTTTTTCTGCCAATTCAAATCACTCAAGGTCACAAGGTCAACTAATTGACTTCATTGTGGCAAGGCACTAGCAAAGCCATCTGTGTGCAAAGACATTTCACAAAAATATAGAAAATGAGTACAGCATTTTCCCCAATTTTAATTCATTTTCCCCGGCAGCATGGGGTAAAGTTCCTCCCCACACTACAAGTGTCTTACCTGTCTTGGGCTCTCTCCTTCACAACCTGAGCATTCCCCTTCAATTCGTCGGCTTTGGACTTGTAATGATCCCGGTCTTCAACATCTCTATCCATAAGATTCTGATACACTAATTCCCACTTCGCCATCGCATCGGCCTGGGCCTGCAGTGCCTCCTCCACCTCCACCCTGCTTACGGTCTGATCCCCGCAGAGAGAACTTAATCTATTGTTGCATGCCGTCACCTTCCCACGCAGGGAAGCTTCTTGATTCTTTAAGTTTGGCTTCTGCTTATTTAATCTCATTATGCCTCCGAAAAAAGTTGGGTTTGGCGGAGATGTCACAGAGACGTTCTGCTGCTTCGGGTGCCGTGCGTGAATGGCGCCAAAAAAGGTTTGCCTTCAAGCTTTATTTTGACGGGCATTTAACTAGTCGCGTTCAGAATCCATCATATTTAATCAGAAATTACTCCTTTCATATTTATGGCAATATTATTACACATTTATTAGCAAACATAGAAAACGTAGAAAAGGCATTTTGAACCTGTTGATTTCTTACGAAGCCGCGGTCGGAGGATCCGAACGCGGCGGCGCTTCCTGGAAGCCCTGACATGTCTGGGCGAGTTTTAGATCTCCCTCTCTCGCTCTCGCTCCCCCCCCCCCCCGCATCATCGCCATTACTCTCCTCGCTCCTCCCCCCCCTCATCACCATTACTCTCTCGCTCCCCCCCCCCCTCATCACCATTACTCTCTCGCTCCCCCCCCCCTCATCGCCATTACTCTCTCGCTCTCCCCCCCCCTCATCGCCATTACTCTCTCGCTCTCCTCCCCCCCCTCATCGCCATTACTCTCTCGCTCCCCCCCCCCCCCATCGCTATTTCTCTCGCTCTCCCTCCTCCCTCATCGCCATTACTCTCTCGCTCTCCCCCCCCCCATCGCTATTTCTCTCGCTCTCTCCCCCCCCTCATCGCTACTTCTCTCGCTCTCTCCCCCCCCTCATCGCTATTCTCTCGCTCTCTCCCCCCCCCCATCATCGCTATTTCTCTCGCTCTCCCCCCCCCCTCATCGCCATTACTCTCTCGCTCTCCCCCCCCCCCTCATCGCTATTTCTCTCGCTCTCCTCCCCCCCCCTCATCGCCATTACTCTCTCGCTCTCCCCCCCCCTCATCGCTACTTCTCTCGCTCTCTTCCCCCCCCTCATCGCTATTCTCTCGCTCTCCCCCCCCTCATCGCTATTTCTCTCGCTCTCCCCCCCCCCTCATCGCTATTTCTCTCGCTCTCCCCCCCCCTCATCGCTATTTCTCTCGCTCTCCCCCCCTCATAGCTATTTCTCTCGCTCTCCCCCCCCTCATCGCTATTCTCTCGCTCTCCCCCCCCCTCATCGCTATTTCTCTCGCTCTCCCCCCCCCCTCATCGCTATTTCTCTCGCTCTCCCTCACCCCCTCATCGCTATTTCTCTCGCTCTCTCCCCCCCCCTCATCGCTATTTCTCTCGCTCTCCTCCCCCCCTCATCGCTATTTCTCTCGCTCTCCTCCCCCCCTCATCGCTATTTCTCTCGCTCTCCTCCTCCCCCCCCCTCATCGCTACTTCTCTCGCTCTCCCCCCCCCCCTCATCGCTACTTCTCTCGCTCTCTCCCCCCCCTCATCGCTACTTCTCTCGCTCTCTCCCCCCCCTCATCGCTACTTCTCTCGCTCTCCCACCCCCCTCATCGCTATTTCTCTCGCTCTCCCCCCCCCATCATCGCTATTTCTCTCGCTCTCCCCCCCCCTCATCGCCATTACTCTCTCGCTCTCCCCCCCCCTCATCGCTATTTCTCTCGCTCTCTCCCCCCCCCTCATCGCTATTACTCTCTCGCTCTCCCCCCCCCCTCATCGCTATTTCTCTCGCTCCCCCCCACCCCCTCATCGCTACTTTCTCTCGCGCTCTCCTCCCCCCCTCATCGCTATTTCTCTCGCTCTCCCCCCCCCTCATCGCTATTCTCATCGCTACTCCTCCCCCCCTCATCGCTATTTCTCTCGCTCTCTCCCCCCCCCCTCATCGCTATTTCTCTCGCTCTCCCCCCCCCTCATCGCTATTTTCTCTCGCTCTCCCCCCCTCATCGCTATTTCTCTCGCTCTCCCCCCCCCCCCCTCATCGCTATTTCTCTCGCTCTCCCCCCCCTCATCGCTATTTCTCTCGCTCTCCCCCCCCCCCTCATCGCTAGTTTCTCTCGCTCCCCCCCCCCCTCATCGCTATTTCTCTCGCTCCCCCCCCCCCCCTCATTGCTATTTCTCTCGCTCTCCCCCCCCTCATCGCTATTTCTCTCGCTCTCATCCTCCCCCCCCCCTCATCGCTTATTTCTCTCGCTCTCCCCCCCCTCATCGCTATTTCTCTCGCTCTCCCCCCCCTCATCGCTATTTCTCTCGCTCCCCCCTCATTGCTATTTCTCTCGCTCCCCCCCCCCCCCTCATCGCTATTTCTCTCGCCTTCTCCCCACCCCCTCATCGTTATTTCTCTCGTTCTCTCCCCCCTTCATCGCTATTTCTCTCGCTCTCCCCCCCCCCCTCCATCATCGCAATTTCTCTCGCTCTCCCCCTCCCCCTCCTTTGGTCCGAAAGTACTTCTATTCCCTCGATATATTATTCTGAAACTCTTCACCATCGCGGTGGACAATGAGACTGAACCATTCACCATTCTGTAACGATGGGCAGCGTAACTATTGTTTTCTGGGCGTCAAAACATTCCGCTGCTACTTAGGTTTGTAAGTGTGACTAAGTTTGGGTTAAATTAAAAGGCATTCGAGTATGACATGAAGTATTGATACAGGATACATTAATTTGAACATCTCGACACACCCTCTCTGTTAATCTTTAATTACTAAGCGCAAAAGATGATCATGATCTTTGGGGTTTTCAATCTTGTGGTATTTTTTTTATTACAATTAGCTGTACTTTGTGAGTAAAAGTGGCATGAACGACGTGCAAGGGGTTAAGTAATGAACATAAATTATGAAAACGTAGAATTGGTCGCAGAATAAGTGAATCAGTCGTATAGATAGTGAGATCAAATATATTCCACATATAAAGCCAGGCGGTGTAGAAATGTGACCGCGTGCAGCGACTTCCTTGTTCAGGTCCTGGTAGGCCGGCTGTGCGACCCTATTTCCGGAATGTACACTTTATTCCTACATCTTTCTTGGTCATTTTTGGTAGACATCAGTCAGTGGCGCTTGAACGTATCCACCGTATCATTTTTGAAACAGTAATTTAAACAATGAGATAGAAAAGTTGGGTTTTCCACACAGATACACCGTTGCGTTTGTATCTTTCCACGCGATGAAAATGGCGTCAAAATCGATATCCATCGCCTCTTTTCCCTTCCTTTTTCACCACGAAATAAACCGAACTGCACTTTTCTCAACCACGTACAACATCGTAATATAAAATAAAAAGAAGTCAACACAAAATGCAACTCACAATTACCTGTTTGGTTAGCAAATGAACGGGAATAAGACAGTCTCTTCGGTCTCTCGCGTCCTGAACCCACGCTGCTGGTGCGTCTAATGCGTGCTGGAGGAGCCCAAGTGTTGCGGTGAGTCGACCCGATGCCACATATATCTTATTTGAAAGCTTATTTTTTCGCCATTCCCGTTCAGCTATATGTTTATTTGCGAGAGGGGGGGATTTTGTTATTAAATATGTAGGAATACAATTTGCGTAATTCTATTTCGGGATATGTGAATGGGAGTAAGTGGTGTTTGAAATGTATTAATGCCAAGAACTGCTGTACGGATATTTGTTTTCTTGTATCTTTCGGTTTTGTATCAAATGCTTCTTGAAATAAACTAAAAATCTTCGCTGTTAATTCCTCTCCAGAAACGTCCCATGTCATTCAAAAAATATTATTAATCATTACAAAAGCTGATAAAAATTTCGCCTTGTTTTGTATATACATACTTCGTTGAACCACAAGGCAATTTTGTTTGTATATATCATATGTGACGTATTCAAGGCAAGAAAATTAAACAATATATTTAAATATTCAATTTGATTTGAACATTTATCTGTCATCCTCCCAATCCCCTTCATGATGTCGTCACGTGAGGGGGAGGGGGAAGGTAAAGGAGGAGACTGAGGACTAATGTAAGGATCGCCCCTGCATGATTTTTTCTTCTCCCCCTTTCATTTTCCTGTTCTTCATCATCTCCTTCTCTCCACTTATCTTATTCGTTAACTCAGCATTGCCCTTTTCGCCACAATATTTTACCATTGTGCTATATAACTTTTGATGATTAGCACATTTATTTACTTTAATCATTAAGCATTATACCGTCATTTCTGGCATCTATAATCTACCGACTTGGACGCCCTACCCTACTAACTACGTCATTCATTGCTAAGCCATTGGGTACTAAGAAAAGCTATTGCTGGATTGGCAACCTGTACCCAAGCAAGCAACTTATTGTAGGGTGAGTCATCGTACATCTGGTTACCGCACGCCTGCCGAACGGCTTTTTTGTGAATGATTTGTTCCTGTATTTTATATATACTTTTTATACTTC